TGAAGCATTATCTGTTGAGTTACGGATTTAAAATTGAAATTACCGACGTTTATGGGTTAAAAAATTAAAATTGAGTACTTGGATATGTTAATGGGAATTTTTAGAACTATTTGGGAAAATTAATTGGAATTCTAATTTGTATGATTCGTTAATGCACGTTTGGGTGGTTAATTTTATTCTGCAAATTGAAGGCCTTACAGGCTTCAGAAACTGGAATAGAGGACATATTCATGATCAGCGTAATTTTTAGAGTCATCTGAAAAGTTTAATTGAAATTTAATTTCGTATGATTTAGAAGGCCACGTTTGGCTCTCCCTTATGTTAATCTTGTGTGTGTGTATATTTATATACATAGAAGCCTTATGAGTTGTTGAACTCAACTCTTTGACCCAAAAATATCTAGAGAAAGGGGAAGCCACGTGAGAGGGAGAGTTCTTGAGAGAACTCAAAGAGAAAAGGAAGGAAAGCTTGGAGATTGAAGGGCTTTAAAAGGGAAATTCAAGGATTTGGGTTAAGGTATGTGGTTTTAACTATTATTTTTGTAACTAGTTCAATTACTACATGAAATCAAGGATTAACTTGGAAGTTTAAAATGTAAATGAACTAGTGTTTTGGGAGTTTGGATGAAATGGATTGAATTCAAGGAATTGAACTTTGCTTTCCTTAAATTTGTTTGATTTGGGTCCAATCTTAAGAATGATTCGTGGAATAACAAGCTTTGGTGTGAAAATCAACCATATGTAAGATGTATTTTTATGATTTTGGAGTATATATTTTGGAAGTTTGATTATATAGAAAGATGGGACTTGCATTTTTAATTTGAGGCAAAGATTGATTTGTTTGAGATGGAGTTAGACTTGAATGTTGATAGTTTATCACCTTGTGGGTCAATTCTACATGTTTTTGAGTAATTAGACTTGAAATGAAGCTTAAAAAAATGAAAAGATCAAGTGTTGGAGCAAAAACCATTTTCAGATTGTTCGATTCTGCCCAGACCGCACGAGCGGCCACGGGCACCGTACGAGCGGAGCATGAAGAAAAAGAAGGGTTTCATTCTGCTCTTTGGGCGCTCGAGTGGCCAGTTTCTCCGCTTGAGTGGATTTGGGCCGCACGAGCGGCCAAAGTGGGTGCACGAGGGGCCACCCCTGTTTCAGCATGTACTAGGTAACTTTGAATAAGCATATCTTTTGCATCTGGACTCCGTTTTGAGTGATTCTTGAGCCTAAAATCAAGCCCGGAAGTCTAGTTTCCAATGGCGGTGGTCTCACTCCCAAATTCTAAATACAAAAATAGTTATGTCCAAATTAGTGACGACTGTTCACTTTCTGTCAACCAGTTTTGTACCATTACTTCACCTAAACCTTTTCCCATCGATTTCTCCGATTTTCTGAGACATGGATTATAACTTATTAAGGAATAATGAGCTTGGTACCACCATGGCTAATTGATTGAATGACCAGAAAGAATAAGTAAAGGATCGAGTATAATCTCATATTATGTGTTGTGCACTGTACTTGTAGGTCGAGACGAGGACATCATCCCATTACTACTGGGAGCTTATCACTGTTAGTAGCAGTACAAAAATGTATATTTTATTTATTGTTGATAATTATTGTCACTAACACTCTGTTCTTCGTAAGTGGTACACAAACATTTATGACGATTGGAAATCAGTGTGAACTTATATGAAAATTGAAAGATTTGCGCACATCGGTATGACTTTGGAATCCTTTTGTTCTGTCAATAACAAATATTAACCCTCTATTATTTATCTGCATACTACGTTACTTCTTAAAGAATAAATGGAACTTTTGTTCATCCTTGAACAATGGTATCCGTATGAATCCAAGATTATTCTGTTGTGTTACGTATGGACCTGAGGTCGTTTAGAATCTACGACATGAATGCAAAGGTTTAACATCATTATGTAACCCACGTTAGAATATAAATTGTTCTGTATTTGTTAAGCATACTGTAATGACATGATATGGCAAGAAATGTTCTATTTTCTGATATGTTATGTTTTGAATTAATGAATGATTGCCCACATATATATAAAAGTATTCACGGCATCCTTAGGACAAGGCCCTTACCCGGGGGTAAGAATGCCGTGGTCTTATGGCCCTTGCCCGGGGGTAATAATACCGTGGTTCAAGTATGTTACAAGTTCCTGGTACCAGAGGTTCTGTTATGGAACTAACAAGTATGCCCTATATTGATTTGTTAGCGCTATTGAAAGTACCAAGTATAATTAAGAATAGATATGAATTTGTTTCTGTTTAACCGTTTCATTTATACTATGGTATGACATGATTTGATTCGATCGGTCTTTAAGATCTAAAGATTTCTGGTATGGAACAAAGTGTTGTATGGAACTAAGTGCTGCAATGCGAGCCACCTCTAGAATTCGTACGAGCCACCTCTTGAGTCCATACACATGTGAAAGTGAAAGTGAAAGTTATGAGGCCTATGGCCGTTCTGTAACATCTGTGGGGCCTATGGCCAAATTGTGACATCTGGGCCTATGGCCATTTTGTATGATTTGTTAGTATGAAACAAAGTGCTGCACGAAACTAAGTGCTACCCTGTGAGCCACCTCTAGAATCCGTGTGAGACACCTCTTGAATTCATACTTGCAGGAAAGGGCTTCATGCCATTCTGATAAGAGCTTCATGCCATTTTGTTAAGGGCTTCATGCCACTCTATTTAAGATTGGGCCCAAGGCCATTCTGAAATTGGTTCAGAAATGAATTAATTATATGATCTCTTTATTTATAAATGCATGAATATGTATCATAATTCAAGCTGAGCATTGAAATGGTTATGCACTATTATTCACTGAGCTTGACTCACTTTATATTATGTCTGTTTCTGTAGGCACTCAACCTGGGGGTCAATCTTAACCCATGGCATCCATTCCTCTTGTGTCAACCTCAGAGTGTCCAGGCACCTAAATGAAGACAGCTCATTATGGAGTATGCTATGCTTTGGTTTTGTACCCTGATTGTCTGTCTTAGATTGAAGCTTATATGATCCTTATTCCCTTCAATATTTTTATTATGTGCCCAATCTTGAGGGCTGGGTCTGTATATGTATATGTACATAGCTATATTCTCAGATGCATGTCACTATATGTTTATTTGCTTTATGTTTTGTTTGTGATCTTGGCATAGTAGTGATAGCTCAATGGATGTTTTGTATCTTATTACTTGATATTTTATATATATATAATGCTTCCGTTCAGGCCCCATACGTTATGTACAGCAGGTTAAGTGTCCATTTCCAAGTAGGTCATGCCCAAACTTTTAGGGGCGAGTTTGGGGCATGACAAGTGGTATCCGAGCACGAGTTGCTATCTCACACACGAATCCATTGGGCTTTAGGATGTCTAGAAAAGACTTAGGCATCATGCATGACATCCTTTGTGCATATGAAAGGAATTGATAGCAACGATATTGGTACATGTAATAACGCTAACCGCAATGGTTACTATTTATGTCTGTTGTACATTTCTTGTGTATATTGCGATTAATTGCTATGCACTGCAGATGGGATTAAATCAATAAAGTTGCACAGCGGAAGCGTGGTGAGGGTTTGAACTAGCTGGTAAGACAACTTACATGTAAATGATTAAAGGAACTGTGTGTTATCGGTTGTTAGTCATCTGTGAGAAATGATGACGATATACTTAAGCTTTTTAGCATCTCTTTAAGTGAATTAATTAACCTTTCAGCATGGAATATTTCTAAGATCAAAGGAAATGCTATACGTGATACTCTAACTTTAAGCTAGCGTTATATCTTCCTTACCATAACAATGTTTAGATCTGTGATCTTGAGAAATTACTGTATTTGAGTATTTTGATGAGATGTGTTGTATGCCAACTGGAATTGTGTTGTACAATTGGTTGTACGAAGAAGTTATGCAGACCATGACCCCTTTTAAGAATTGTGTAATTTGTTTATGTGAACCTGTGATCTGCAATTTGTACTTTATTATTTGTAATCTGTAATCCGTTTCGTTATGTGTAAATTGTAATCCGCAACCAGGAATTTGTATAACAAATGGTTGAATGACATGAAGGACTTTACCCACATTATATGTTTGCTTATGTGTTTGCTTACATGACACTTGTAAAAAGAGATGCAGTTATTGACCCTTGCAAAAAAAAAAAAAAAAAAAAAAACCTGTTCCTATGTATCAATGACTTAAGATTAAGAAACCATTTTTGTGAAATATTTCTGTGTAAATATGCAAATGTTAGCTATTGCAGCTTGTTAAATTAATCCCTATTCTGTATTCGAAGGATAAGTAGTTATTGACTACGTTGAGACTAATGTAGATGATTGGTAATTTGGCAATTTACTGCAAGAACAAAACCCCGCCTAGGTGTATGAGTGATTTAAGAGTAATGAATCATTTTTGTGATGTATTTCCGTGTACATATGTAAATGTTAAATAGCCCAAATTGCCACCCTAGTCCTCTATTTGTACTAGAAGCTAAAAGATGAATAGTTTTGTATGATGTGGTAATCTTGGTCAAATCGAAGGGACATGGAGATATTCTATAATGATGGTGGGTTAATGATATGTACTGGGCATTTACTTCCTCTTATATGCTCATACCAATGTGTACCACATTCATGATATGATTAGACATTGTCATATTGAGCTGACCTTACTAAGAATCTTAACGCTGATATTATCGATCAGATCATTTGGTCCGGGTGAATGTGACTGCTGAATATGTAACGAAATTTATGACCCCATGAAGGAACTCAATAAGACCTATGTATGCGAATTACCGAGATACTTTGTTATGTTAACTCACTGAGCCAAACGACTGGTCTATAATTCAAATGATTAAAAAGAGGCCAAATTAATTTGTGCTGTAACAAGAAGAAATGTTTAGTAAAGAAAGATGTTGCACCTCATGAGTCAAGTATGATTTTGACTTTGATTTCCGGTTTTGTTTTTGAGTGGCTCCCTTTGTTCAAATAATGGCTGTTATTGTTGTATTTATTGCTCCGATTTGGACTTGTGATGGCATGACTAAGTGTCTACGAGGGTATGTCTGCATGAAGTTACAAAGCTGTATATTCTTTGTTTGGGTATCACCGTAAGTAATTGATTTGGAATATAGTTCTCTTTGTGTTAATATATCTAGAAGTGCAATTGTGAAGACTTAATGATATTGACTGGGATTCTTTTTCCCATTGTTCTAACCTTGTAGATATGGTTTGAAACAATGTAACGATATGACTTTGTTATGTTTTTCGGAATGGAGAAATATTAGAAACTAATACTGAAGCTAGTGGCTACGTACCTAAGCAACTTATTTGTGAATGCTGGGTCAATTTGGTTATAAACATAGTAGAGAACGTTTTGGTACCATGATTGAAATAAACGTATACGATAGAAATATATGCATCATAAAAATTGATACAATGGAACTTATTGTCAGGAAATATTGTGATTATAAACCCTGTCTACTGAGAATTTATGCCTTGAGTATTCTGTAGTAAACTTTTGTGGTCCCATCTCATTTGACATATTAATATATGGAATTAATTGTGATCCTTGGAACAAACTTCATTGACATTGATTGTGTAGAAATTATGAACTGTTCAATGATTGAGGAATATTGAACCTCCAGGACGAGACTGAACTATGATAAGAAACCGAAATTTGTGAACCGAACTTGTGTTAAGGTAAATCAAGTTTGGAGGACCAAACTTCTTAAGGTGGGGAGAATGTAATGACCCCAAAATGCGTATAAGAAGTCAGCTTTATTTAACTATGAGATGATGTGTTTTAATTTAATTATATCTATTGGAATTGAAGCATTATCTGTTGAGTTACGGATTTAAAATTGAAATTACCGACCTTTATGGGTTCAGAAATTAAAATTGAGTACTTGGATATGTTAATGGGAATTTTTAGAACTATTTGGGAAAATTAATTTGAATTCTAATTTGTCTGATTCGTTAATGCACGTTTGAGTGGTTAATTTTATACTGCAAATTGAAGGCTTTAGAGGCTTTAGAAACCGGAATAGAGGACATATTCATGATTAACGTAATTTTTAGAGTCATCTGAAAAGTTTAATTGAAATTTAATTTCGTACGATTCATAAGGCCACGTTTGGCTCTCCCTTATGTTAATCTTGTGTGTGTGTGTATATTTATATACATAGAAGCCTTATGAGTTGTTGAACTCAACTCTTTGACCCAAAAATATCTAGAGAAAGGGGAAGCCACGTGAGAGGGAGAGTTCTTGAGAAAACTCAAAGAGAAAAGGATGGAAAGCTTGGAGATTGAAGAGCTTTAAAGGGAAAATTCAAGGATTTGGGTTAAGGTATGTGGTTTTAACTATTATTTTTGTAACTAATTCAATTACTACATGAAATCAAGGATTAACTTGGAAGTTTAAAATGTAAATGAACTAGTGTTTTGGGAGTTTGGATGAAATGGATTGAATTCAAGGAATTGAACTTTGCTTTCCTTAAATTTGTTTGATTTGGGTCCAATCTTAAGAATGATTCGTGGAATAACAAGCTTTGGTGTGAAAATCAACCATATGTAAGATGTATTTTATTGATTTTGGAGTATATATTTTGGAAGTTTGATTATATAGAAAGATGGGACTTGAATTTTTAATTTGAGGCAAAGATTGATTTGTTTGAGATGGGGTTACACTTGAATGTTGATAGTTTATCACCTTGTGGGTCAATTCTACATGTTTTTGAGTAATTAGACTTGAAATGAAGCTTTAAAAATGAAAAGATCAAGTGTTGGAGCAAAAACCATTTTCGGATTGTTCGATTCTACCCAGACCGCACGAGCGGCCACGGGCACCGCACGAGCGGAGCATGAAGAAAAAAAAGGGTTTCATTCTGCTCTTTGGGCGTTCGAGTGGCCGGTTTCTCCGCTCGAGCGGATTTGGGCCAAAGTGGGCGCACAAGCAGCCACCCCTGTTTCAGCATGTACTAGGTAACTTTGAATAAGCATATCTTTTGCATCCGGACTCCGTTTTGAGTGATTCTTGAGCCTAAAATCAAGCTCGGAAGTCTAGTTTCTAATGGCGGTGGTCTCACTCCCAAATTATAAATGCAGAAATAGTTATGTCCAAATTAATGACGATTGTTCACTTTCTGTCAACCAGTTTTGTACCATTTCTTCACCTAAACCTTTTCCCATCGATTTCTCCGGTTTTCTGAGACATGGATTATAAATTATTAAGGAATAATGAGCTTGGTACCAGCATGGCTAATTGATTGAATGATCAAAGAGATTAAGTAAAGGATCGAGTATAATCTTATATTATGTGTTGTGCACTGTACTTGCAGGTCGAGATGAGGACATCGTCCCATTACTACCGGGAGCTGATCACTATGAGTAGCAGTACAGAAATGTATATTTTATTTACTGTTGATAATTATTGTCACTAACACTCTGCTCTTCATAAGTGGTACACAAACATTTATGACGATTGGAAATTAGTGTGAACTTATATGAAAATTGAAAGATTTGCGCACATCAGAATGACCTTGGAATCCTTTTGTTCTGTCAATAACAAATATTAACTCTCTATTATTTATCTGCATACTACGTTACTTCTTAAAGAGTAAATGGAACTTTTGTTCATCCTTGGACAATGGTATCGGTATGAATCCAAGATTATTCTGTTGTGTTACGTATGGACCCGAGGTCGTTTAGAATCTACGACATGAATGCAAAGGTTTAACATCATTATGTAACCCACGTTAAAATGTAAATTGTTCTGTCTTTGTTAAGCATACTGTAATAACATGATATGGCAAGAAATGTTCTATTTTCTGATATGTTACGTTTTGAATTAATGAATGATTATCCATATATATATATATATATATAATTATTAATGGCATCCTTAGCACAAGGCCCTTACCCAGGGGTAAGAATACCGTGGTCTTGTGGCCCTTGCCCGGGGGTAATAATACCGTGGTTCAAGTATGTTACAAGTTCCTGGTACCGAAGGTTCCGTTATGGAACTAACAAGTATGACCTATATTGATTTGTTAGCGCTATTGAATGTACCAAGTATAATTAAGAATAGATATGAATTTGTTTCTGTTTAACCATTTCATTTATGCTATGTTATGACATGATTTGATTCGATGGGTCTTTAAGATCGAAAGATTTCTGGTATGGAACAAAGTGCTGTATGGAACTAAGTGCTGCAATGTGAGCCACCTCTAGAATCCGTACGAGCCACCTCTTGAGTGCATACACTTGTGAAAGTGAAAGTTATGAGGCCTATGGCCATTCTGTAACATCTATGGGGCCTATGGCCAAATTGTGACATCTGGGCCTATGGCCATTCTGTATGATTTGTTAGTATGAAACAAAGTGCTGCACGGAACTAAGTGCTACCGTGTGAGCCACCTCTAGAATCTGTGTGAGACACCTCTTGAATTCATACTTGCATGAAAAGGCTTCATGCCATTGTGATAAGGGCTTCATGCCATTCTATTAAGGGCTTCGTGTCATTCTGTTTAAGATTGGGCCCAAGGCCATTCTGAAATTGGTACAGAAACAAATTGATTATATGATCTCTTTATTTATAAATGCATGAATATGTATCATAATTCAAGCTGAGCATTGAAATGGTTATGCACTATTTTTCATTGAGCTTGACTCACTTTATATTATGTCTGTTTCTGTAGGCACTCAACCTGGGGGTCAATCTTAACCCATGGCATCCATTCCTCTTGTGTCAACCTCAGAGTGTCCAGGCACCTAAATGAAGACAACTCATTATGGAGTATGCTAAGCTTTGGTTTTGTACCCTGATTGTCTGTCTTAGATTAAAGTGTATATGATCCTTATTCCCTTCAATATTTTTATTATGCGCCCAATCTTGAGGGCTGGGTCTGTATATGTATATGTACATAGCTAGATTCTCAGATGCATGTCACTATATGTTTATTTGCTTTATGTTTTGTTTGTGATCCTGGCATAGTAGGGATAGCTCAATGGATGTTTTGTATCTTATTACTTGATATTTTATATATATAATGCTTCCGTTCTGGCCCCATATGTTATGTACAGCAGGTTAAGTGTCCGTTTCCAAGTAGGTCATGCCCAAACTTTTAGGGGCGAGTTTGGGGCATGACAATTGGCTTGCTTCGGTTGGACCTCATTGGTGATGAACCTTGCCTTGAAGGATTTTTGGAGTTGGTGGAAGCTCTTAATCGATGCCGGTTCCAATTTATAGTACCATCTAATGGCCAATGGTCCCAAACTGCTCAGAAATATTTGACACATGAGGGCCTCGTCGCTTGCATGAAGAGTCATGGTTTGCTTATAATGATGAATGTAATCAGTGGGGTCCGATTTTCCATCGTATAGGGTGAATGATGGAGCTTTGAACTTTTTGGGTAGCACTGCCTTACGATCCGTCGCACAACGGGGTCGTGTTGATCCTCTTCGTCTGAATCATTTCTTCTTCGCTTATTCCGCACAACGCGGACTTCCTCCTGAAGTACTAGAGACCTCGACTCGTCCCTTCTGTTTGGATTCTGGGGATGATGAGTCAGAGTCACTGCCACTATCATGTCTCCAAACTCGTGGTCGTCGACCATCCTTTCCCAAAGGTCGTCCTCGATCTTGGCACGCGGCCTGTTGGGATTTTGCCACCTCCAGGGCCAAATCCTGTCGAAGGCGCTCGTTCTCAGCCATCATATTTTCTAACCTTTGTTCATTTTGCATCGCCTGATCCATAATCGCTTGCATTGTCTCATGTGCTGATGTCAAGGGTGAGATCTGGGCAACAGAGTCAAAGTTCAAGGCCTTTCGTGCGGCAATGTTCTATGGCTCAAGCATGTTTCTGGGAATGGTATCATCTCATGGCGTAAGGTCATCAGTGACTACTAGAGGATCTTCTGTCACGCCCGCCATGGATGTGCTTGAGTATTCCCACAGACGGCACCAATTGTGGCGATATGGTTTGGAAATAATCTCTAGATTGTGTAGGACACTCTTGATCCTCAGCTAGTCACCTGAAAATGAATGAACACTCCGATCGGGGGTGCCGGAATTAGCACTCTGACGGATCAGTCAGTGTATACTCTTGGTTGCTTGTGTCTCAAGTTAATCTTATTTTTTCTCACATACCTTTTCTTAGCTGATGCTCCTCTTATTTATAATCATCCTTGATATTGATGGTTAGGCCCATCTTTCGACCACCGAATAATTGGTTATTCGGCTATTCTGTCCTACCTATTCGTACCCGGTGCAGCTTACAGCTGATTCTATGGCCGTTCTGGTTATTCGGCCTCTATCCCTCCAGGATAGAGCCGTATAGTACATAACTTGATTTCTTTCTTTAAACTAAATCGGCTTCCCTACGTAATTATATTATTCGGCTCCCACAAGGATTAATGTAGTAAGTAAGGCAATCCATTTTTCTCAAACTCACCTAGTAAACTGCTATTATCAAATTCATTATTTTTTTTTTATTTTTTTATTTTGTTTCTCTAACTTGTTGTGGTTGATCAATAGGAAGTTGTTGGGCATTTTCAACAATAGCTGCCATTGAAAGGATCACTCAACTCACAACTGGTAAGTTGATCTCACTATTCGAGCAAGAGCTGGTGGACTGTGACAGGAGTGGTAAAGATGCAGGCTGTGAGGGTGGTTATATGGAGGGTGGCTTTGCATTTATTGTGCAAAACAAAGGCATTGCCACTGAAACAATTTATCCATGCTCAACAAATGATGGAACTTGCAACACTAAGAAGGAAGCTTCCCATGCAGCAAAGATTAGTGGCTATGAAAATGTGTCTGCCAACAGTGAGAGTGCACTATTGAAGGCTGTGGCTAACCTACCCATTTCAGTTTCTATTGATGTTGTTGGAGCTTTCTTCCAGTTTTACTCGAGCGAGATTTTCACAGGAGATTGTGGGACTGATCTGGACCATGGTGTCACTGTAGTTGGATATGGGACAACCACTGATGGTACCAAGTATTGGTTAGTCAAGAATTCATGGGGTACTAGCTGGGTTGAGGAGGGATACATTAGAATGCAAAGAGACATTGCTGCTAAGGAAGGCCTCTGTGGCATTGCCATGGATTCTTCCTATCCTACTACTTAGAAACTATAAGTAGCAATCTATTAATGGGGGAATCTTCATCTTGAATTTCCACTCTAGTCTCAACCGATTGTTATTTACCTATGCTTTTGGTATGTTACTTTTTCTTGTCTGGTAAATATGTGTGATTATATGTGTGATTCAAGCAGTTCTATGTATCTAAAACTTTATTAATGAAACTGCATTGTAATTATGGTCTCTCTCTATAATCATACTCCTTTCTGATATTTGCTTGCTTATGGTAAAGTTGAAGTCCAACCACCTTGTTGGATTGACAATGTTTGGCAAATGTAGGCCCTGATTTGCAAAAAGTAGAGTGCAAAAAGCTATACATTTCAAACCATAGTTGCCTAAAGGGAAAGTAGAAATATGAGAATGGAAGCCTGAAATGTGGCTAAAAAATAGTATAGAAACCCCGAAGCTAAGTTATATGAAATAAGATAGGAATCTTCGAGAACTTGTTTTGATAGGTAAGTTAAAAGGGGATTCAAAATGTCTTTATTGAGAGAATATATAAGGGTTTTAAGTACTAAACTTTTTAGTTGTTAAAAGTGAAAATTCTATTGTAAAAAATAATAGGAGATTTTTTTTTTTTTTTTTTTATCATAAGAATCGTCACTAAAAAATGGTCTAAAAAAGTCAAAAAATGATGTTTAACGGAAATTTTTTGAAAATGCCAGTAAATGCACTTTTAAGTGAGAAAACAATTTCGTGTAAAAATAATTTTAATTTTAAAGATAAGAATTTTGATCCTAAAAGGACATTAATTTATTCCAAATGTCCAATTTCATTACTATAAATATAATAATGACATTTTTGGCAATAAAAATATTTTGTCTTTAAAAAGTAATTTCATCCCTAAATTTTTATCTCTAAAACTTTAATATGTTGTATTGAGTGTTTCCCACAAGAAAAAAATGAGATTTACGTGTAAGTCCTACTAAGTAAATTTTGTCCAATACGTTCAATAATAATTGATGACATTTTTCATTATACATTATCAAAAAATGTTATTAATAGTTAATTTCAACGATAATTTAAAAATTGTCACAAAAATGTCACTAATTATAAGTTTTAGTGACATTTTAAAAAAACTGTCACAAAAAAGTCACTAATTTTCAGCTTTCTACGACAATTTTAAAAAAATTTCATAGAAGAAAGTCACTAATTATAAGTTTTAGCGACAATTTATAAAAATCATGACAAAAAAGTCAGTAATTGTCAATTTTTAGCGACATATAAAAATTCGTCACAAAAAATTATTTTTAGCAACGATTGTATCAGGACTTGTTTTCAATAGGACTTGATAGAAATTAAATCCAATTATTAGAACCTATTGGTAATTTACCCTAATGTTTTGTTTGGTTGGGGATTTGAGAAGAGATTTAGAATGAGAAAGAAAAAATGTGTGTGAACTAGGTAAAATATAAATATATTTTATTTACATTTCATCTACTTTTTCCTTTTCCATTTCCATTTCCAAATCTCTTTTCAAATCTCTTAACCAAACATAGTGAAAGAACTTACTACCAAACTTAAAGTTACACATTATATTTCAAAAAAAAAAAAAAAAACGTGACAGATTTGACATCACAATGTGTTGTAATTAAGAATATAAAATAAAAAAAAAAATTCAAGTAATATGCGTTTTTTACATAAACCCAATTTGCTTGATCATTTAAGTGTGTTTCTCATTTATAACTCATTTTGTTGTATTTTTAAAATAAAAATTTTATGCAAAATATGAAATTAAAAATATAACTGGAAGATGAAATGTATCGAGAGAGATTTGAAAAATACAGTCTACCTTTACTACTGCTACTCGCATTTATATAATTAACTTCTCGACTTCACGATTTGCTACTTATAAAATCATATAATCTATAAATCAGTGTCTCTAATGTTTGTAACAAACATATTATTGCCACCTTATTAATTTTTAAGAATTTGAGCTTCTCAAGTTATGCCATGTTGTAAGTGCAATTACTTGAATATCATATTTTATGTCTAGAAATTAAAGGAGTAGAATCAACAATCAATACTCAAAGGCCATGTTTGTTTGGACGGATTAGATTAGGTTAGATTAACATTCCGATGACTAATAGTCCTAGAACTACGAATCCCTTTGGAATGTGTATCCTATCCTATGTTTGGATTGAATTAGGATTATAAGGAGGGACTAATAGTTCAGACTTTGGCTTAGTCCTCCAATTATATCCCACCCCCCTCTGTGGGATTGAATAGTCCATCATATGTGGGATACTATATCTGGATGGATTGTTACTCCATACTTCAATTGTTTAACCAAACATCAGATTAATAATTTTATTAGACTATTAGTCTAATCCTAGCTCATATCTACCCAAACAAACAAGACTTAATAGTCTTATTTCTAGCTCATAAATTGAAGGTTCAAAAACCGGAACTGCCACTTACTTTTTGAGGTCCAAGAACTTATAATAACTGTATCAACAAAGACCTATTTCGTCATAATCAAAGAACTCGGCTTGAGAGCTAATGTACAAGATAAAAATGTATTAAGCACTCATCTTGTCTAACACAAAGTCAGCCTCCACTCATTTATGATTCTTAATTTTAAAATTATTAACTTAAATGTATGATGGCAATTTATATGACAACACTGAGATGCCTGAGATAAGTGATTAGGTCAATCTAAGAGAATGCCTAATATTTTTTTTCATTAATCGGTAAGCTAGTAATTACTGTTAATGTATATATGGATAGGGATTCAATTTAGGAATCCATATTTAGTTGTATCACTTAGGAACCTACATGTGGTTGTATCACTCTCCCATATATAGGAGCCCTTGTGCATTGTTATTTTAGATATGGACAAGGACATCGATTCAATTTAGGAATCCATATTTAGTTGTATCCCTTAGGAATCAATATGTGGTTGTATCATTCTCCTTTATATAGGAGCCCTTGTGCATTGTTATTTATATAATATGATATACACAGTGTTTTTTTTTTTCCTCCTTTTCTCTCAACTATTGTAACATGGTATCAGAGCACCGGTGATAAATCCTAACATGTCACGACCGAAACCCGCCTCTATAGATTTAGTGTCGTAACCGGCCAGTAATCCGTGATTACCAAAGGTCTGCTTAACAATAATGACAATAACACGATAATAGGGCTGGCGTCAGCCAATCAATAATAGAATATATATATTGTCCAATGAGCTATGAGGACTTAATGAACAAAACAAACTTTCATATACTTGTATATGCACAATCACTTAAGTCCAAAACACACTTATGTACAAGATAAAACACAAGCCAAGGAATTAGATCCCATTTCCAAAATAGTAGTAATGAAAGTCACAAAACATTCTTGACACTAGACCAATTTCAAGAGGGTGAATTTGAATCACTCAATAAGTCTTGACACGTGATTGTTCAAAACCTCGCGGTGAGGCAAAATAGTTGGCTTGACAAAAAACGGTTCAGGTCGACGTCGCTGACTCTAATCCAGTGCCCGATTACCTACATATATATAATAAACAATGAGTTAGAACCCAGTGAATAACAACTGCATAAAGCGGTTATGAATGATGTCCTCACAATATTTGAAACGATCGATTATCAATAGAACATTTTCTTAATCAATATCTTGTGTCAATCAATCATTCAATCGATCAATGTAACAATCATTTAGATTCATATAAGTCATACGTGGTACATCCAATAGCAACAATACAATAGGTCTTAAAGACCAAACAATCAATTGATGGCCATCAAACACTAGACAATAGTTCCAAGAATTGGAACTGACAGAGATCTCTGTAACAATAACAATATCAATAACAATAACAATACGTTGTGGATGCCATGAATACAATTCAAAAGAGGATCATCATTCAATCGATAAAATGTAACCGTTTAGAAACGATATAATTTATCATTCAGAAAATAAATACAATCTGAACATATCTTTACAACATTGTTACTCATAGTGGGCTTCCTAAAACACGTGTTAACAATGTGTTCATTATGCGGTGTCTGACCTAAACAAAAAAATTCAAGCACAATTCAATTACATTCAAGTCATTTCTATTCAGTCGGCTGTTAATTTATTCAATTTCTATTCGGTGTTCACTAATTCGGTTCTAACTTTTGTTCTATACATTATTCGTGTTCATGAGATGCAATGCACATGACAAACACTTTCAAACCATGCAAATTGCAATTTCCAACTTTAATTTCATACAATACAAGACCCAAAACTTCTTTCAAGAAAACATTAATTTTTATATTTATAGACATGACTTTGAACAAAACAATAAATTTATAACAATACTTAATTGTTTAATTTATTACCAAAAATCTTTAAAGCAAATTGTAAAATATTAAAATGTGTATTCAAGCTACAACTCAATCTTTTAGATGAGAATTTCCTAGAAATTATGAGAGACCAAGCAAGAATTCGTGTATGTAAAACAAATTTGTCCATGAGATGATCATATTTTTTGGACTTAAACATTTTCAAGTGTAAATTACCATTATATATACAAATTATGTTCTTTTCCAAAACTTTTGAGATTTCCTTATTAAAGTTCATAAACCATGCAAGTAAACAATTGTTATGTTCATGGATTCTTGAAAACATGACATGCATGTAAGGATCATGCAACCTAATAGGTGTTTGAACTAAAATTATGCAATGCATGTGAATATATTACACTATCTCCGTCAATTTCTACTTTTATGATCATAAATGGATTTTCAACTTTATTTCTTCTCCAAGAACTCCTAATTACTCCAAAATCCTTCCTATTTGAACTTAGATGCTAAGGAATTAGGAGTGTATCATTTCAATTTCATGAATTTTGAGATGAAATTTACCTTAATTTGGTGATTTGTTGACATATAGCTCAAGCTCCTACTTTTCTTCTTCCTTCTTGAACTCAACCCTCTCTCTTGCTCTCATTCTCTCTCTACGTGGTGCGTCTATTTGGCATGTCAAAAAGATGATTAAAC